CTTGGCCTGAGCCTATGGCTGAGGGTTGACTATGTGGTTGGCATGAACGATTTTCGGCCCATCTGAGGAAATGGGGGTGGATAACAAACCCGCAGCAATAACAACAAACGAACAAGTTCATTAACTTTGAGCAGTGAATGGAAAATATTTTGATTTCAAAATAAGGATAAGGAGTGGACGATTTTTCAGGGCTATTTTCCCACAGACCTAAAAGATTTCTAAAATTTAAAACTTAAAAAATTGCTAAATTTTTAAAATTTTCAGTATTTCTGCTCTCGGTATATTGAACATTCTCACTGGGGAAGCGGGAAACCAACTGCTGTTTTAACGAAAGATTTTTAGGTTTTATTTTTTTCCGAATTTTTCAAAATATTTCATCTCCCTGTCGGACTTCAAGCTGTTTTCTGTAATAAATTATTGTTTGCGAAAAAAGCGAAAATTATTTCACGCATTTCTACTTTGAAAATAACATTTTGCAAAAAATTGGGGATCGGGAGGCAGGCAGTTCGGCTGCTGACACGGAGTACGTGCGTGTACGTGTACGTTTATGGTCCAAAGCCAGAAATTCAAATTAAATGGAGAGTTCATTGGCTATTTTTGGGCATTGCTATCATGGCTGGACTATTTTTTTCTTTGGTTATTTGAAATGAATGCAGGCCAGAATCTGAGTGCAGAAAGGGAAGAAAATTTGAAAAAAAATTGAGAGAGCCACTGGAAGAAAATATTCCCTGTTTCAAGGAGAAAAAAGACATGGACTTCAATTAGTCTTCTATAGGTAAAAGTTCGGTTCTTCTTCAAAAAAAAAGACCTTTTGGCCCTCCAAAGGAACACCATTTGCCATCGAAAATAAAATCTTCCAATCTTCTCTATAAAGTCTCCCTTGCCTCAATCTTAGATTTCAAAAAATAAAAAAAAATCTAAATGAAATTAATTGTATTCTCTATCATTGGGGCGTTACAAATGTAACCCAATTCCATGCCAACAACAGCAACAACAAATACACATTTTGTGTTTATTTTTATTTTTGTTGTTGTTTTCGTTTTTCGTTACAACAATTACAACGCAAAGTTGAGCTCTTTATTATTATTCAAAGCAAAATGTTCTGCACCCACAGATCATTGAACTTTGTTGATTGTTTTACCCGATTTTGTTTTCATGTTTTCCTCATTTTTGTAGTAGTGCAGTTTTGAAAATTGTAAACATTATTTTGCGGAACACAGAGCAAAAAAAGAAAGAAAAAATAATGGATTGAGTGGATGGCTTGATGGGTGGATGACCCAAAAAAAAAAAAAAAAACAAAAAATCAAACATGAAAAAATGAAAATGGAAAATTTGTAAGTGAAAAAACATTAAAGATGATGGAGAACAGAATGGCAGTTTAAGATGATTTTTGAAGATGAAGATTGGCGGAGAGGAGACGGAGATTGGGGGAATGTGAAGTTAGTTGGAAAATTATGAATGAAATCATTTCAATCAATTTCGAGAGCTATCTAGAAATGATTTCATCCATGATGGGTTTCTGGGGCAAGTAAGTCGCATGCCTGGCAATATAGGGACCGCTGAGACAGCTGGCTTTCAGTCCAGTTATAGAGAAATATTGCGAGAATCAATACTTTTTGTAGGAAAATTCTTCTATGAAAGCCACAAGATGCAAAGCTTAACACCAGAGGGAGCAAGAGAGTGGGTGGGTAGGTAGATGAGAGGAAGGGGAAGAACGAGGGAGAGAACCCTTTGCGATTCCTTGTGGGACCCCCTTTTCTTTCACAGGGAGACCTTCTACTCGTTTTCAGGAAGATCTCTTCTACTATCAGAAGATCTTGTGATTTTCTTTAGAAAAAATACCTTAGGTTCTTCAATAAGATGACATCGAAATCTAAGCCACCAGATTGAAAATTTTCATTCAATTTTTTCTCTTGAAGGTCTGAGAGTCATATACTTCAAATGTTAAACCCTGGAAGACTGAACAGGCGCATTCGGAACCACGAACCTTAATTCTGTGACCCAGGCATCAAATCTATGGAAATGTTAAAAATCTCTGAAGAATGTCTACAAAGAATTCCTTTAGAAACTTTCTTGGGGATTGTTTAGCGGGTAGAGATAGGGACAGCTGGAAAGGAAGGAAAGAAGAGAAGGGAAGGGAAGGGAAGGAAAGGAAAGAAGAGAAGGGAAGAGGAGAAAGAAAGCCAGATCCTTGAAATTGTTTTCAATTCCTGACCCAGAGAGAGAGGCATTCAATTTTTCTATTGGAAGTCCTTATATTCTTCCATAGGAAGACCTTCGCCACTACTGCAGGGAGGCCTTTGGGTTTTTTTTTTACAAAAAAGGACTTCTGTCGTTCTATAAGAACATGTTGGGCCTTTGAAATTCTTCAACCTGGGAGAGAGAGAAAAAGCGGGACTAAATAGCTTATATTTTAACCCTGAAGGAGACAATTTCTTAGCTGCGTTCTAAACTACGACCCTCAAGTCTTGAAAACAAGCAAGATATCTTTAGAGAATGGTAAAAATCTCTGAATAGTGTCTCTGCAGAATCACTTAAGAAAGTCTCGAAGGAGTTCTTTAGAGAGTGTCTAAACAGTTTCTTTAAAGAATTTCTATGAAGTCCCTATAGATAGACTATAAATAGACTTTTGAGAGTTCCTTTAAAGAAGGATCAGGCCGAAACGGGCACGCGCGCCATTAATGCTCTTAATCATCACCACACTCACAATCGGAACCATTAAAAAACAAAGTTAGCAGAGAATAATAAAATTGGGAAAACAAACATCTCTTTACGGCGCTGCTTTAAATAGTCTCTTTAGAGAGTATCTATGGAGTATTTAGAGAACATCTCTGGCAAGTCCCTAGACAGTTCCTTGAGAGAGTTTATATGGTCTCTTCAAAGATTCTTTTGAGAATGTTTTTTCAGGGAGTCTTTCAGAGAGTCTGTATAGAGTTTCTTTAGGGAGACTTTAAATTTACCCTTCGGAGAGTCTCTATAGTCTCATTTTAAGAGAACCACTTTATGATGCCTTTCCACAGCCCCTTTAGAAAAGTCTAGACAGTATTTAAAAAACCTCTTGATATGGTCTATAGATGGCCCCCTTTGGGGTCTTTTCAGATTGCAATTAGGTAGTCCCTAGAGAGCCGCTCTAAAGAGTCCTAATAGTCTCTATAGATTCTACCAATAGTCCTTTGTGCATTGGAGTGTTTTTATAAAATTCCTTGAGAGTTTTTTTAGATTGCTTTTGGGTGTCTTTTGAGAGTCCCTTAATTGGGTCTGAAGACAGTATCTTTCGAGAATATCTAAAAAGGGTATCTTTAGAAATTTCTTTTGGAAGTCTTTTTAAAGTCACACGAGAGTATTCACTGGAGAGATGTCATTAAAGAGTCCCAATAGCGTCATTGGATTCTATTGATAGTTTCTTGAGAGTGAGTTACTTGGGGATGCATTTTTAGATTCTCCTTGGGAGTCTTTTGAGAGAGCGTTTCAGAAGTCCCTTGCAAAAATTTTCTAGAGAGTTCCTCTCGGGTGTCAATAAATAGTCCATTTACTGGGTGTTTAAAAGGCCTTTTGGGGAGTCGTTTAAAAGTCCCTTTATACAGTTTCTCGATAGTATTTAGAAAGTCTCTTTAAGGAATCTCAGGAGAGTCCAAAAATTTTGCCTTCAGAGAATCTCTATAAAGACCCTTTCGGGAGAATTTTGAGAATTATATTAGAGAGTATGAAGGGTGTATAGAGGATATATCTTTTGGAAGTACCTTTATAAGGTCTCTAGAGAGTCTCTTTCGAGAATCTATAAAAAGTAAATTTAGAGGGTGCTTATAGAAGCCCTTTGAGGGGTCTCAAGACAGTCACTTTATAGAGTCACTCGGGAACCCGAATAGTCTCCGTAGATTAATCTCTGGAGAAAGTTTTTATATAATTCCTTTTGCGAGTCTTTTGAGAGTCCCTTTCAGGAGTCCCTTCATAGAGTCTCTTCGAAGGTCCAATTAGAGCGTGTCTATAGAGGTCCTTCAGGGTTTCCTTGGAAAGTCCCTTTATAGAGTCACTCGATAGTATTTAGAGAGTCCCCTAAGGGCCCCTTTAGGGAGTATTTTGAGAGTCCATTTAGAAATTGTGAAAGACATATTTAGAAAGTATGTTTAGGGAGTATATAGATTGTTCCTTTGGAGGGTCCCTATATAGGCTCATTTAAAGTCGTTGGGAACCTCATTAGAGAGTTTTTTTAGAGTGACTTTTAAGTTCGTTTAAAGAGACTCCACAGAGTTCTTTCAGGGAGTTCATGTGAAGAATCCCTCTCTGGATTCAATTCTGGTTGTTTACAAAATTCTTTCGTCGACGTCAAAACCTTTTTATCTCGCATAGGTCCCCATTGAAACTATGCATCCCTGCACATTTCCCCCTTCCGGAAATACAATCCCAAATTTATAAATTTGAATTAAAATTTAAAAGCCCAGCACGTGCTACTAGATTTCTTGGCTATTGCCCAAACAGACTCATATAAATCCAAATGTTCAGCTTCCCCAAAACATTTACCACCTCCCCTCTCCATTTCCCCTAAACTTTTATTAAATTTGGATTAGATTTATAAATGGCAAAAACCATAAATAGATATGTCACATTGAGGGGAGAGGGCGGAGTTTGGAGGGGCTACATTCCAACGAAACACCTGTGCCATATGGCGACACCACCATCGTCCCTCAACCTCACTTGCACAGCCTTTTATATTTGAAAATGAAAATATTTTTTTCAGTAAATCTTTCAAATGAGGTAAAAATAAAATCCCCAACGACAGATGGCAGCTGGAAAAGCGTGACAAATTTCAATCCAATGAAATAGAATTTCAATAGGCTGGCTGGCTGGCAGAGTCATGGTCCAGTGATTATCTTTTTGTGGAGGGTGGCTAGAGAGCGAAGAGGAGGTTGGAAGGAAATTGTTAAATTACTTTGTTGCTAAATCTACAGAGGATGGGGGGAGAGAGGGAGAATATTGACAATTATTTGCCATCGATGACTTACCTGACGGGAATGACAAAATGAATACTAAACAGGCATAGGAGTTTTGTATCGATAATGTGTTGGAATTTCAATTATTTACCTGAAATGAGAAAAGAGGTAAGGAGAGAGAGACAAAGAAAAATTAATATTTTGTATAAAAATGCAAAAAAAATAAAATATTGTTTTAGGAAAATAAAGAAAAAAAAACGTCACGATGTTGCCGGGCGTGACGAGAGATGCGAAGACTAGAAGGGAAGTATATTTAAATGATGGGAGGTATTGTGAAGAATTGTAAAAAAATATGTAGAATCTCCAAAAAATATGAACTTGCAATCGATCCAAAATAAATTGAATACCAGAATATTTCATTCACAAATTGCAGTGAAAAGAGGGGAGGTTTGAGGGGAAAAATACGCTGCCTGTTCAACTAAGGCTTTAACTGATCAACGAAATCTTTCAGCACTTCAACCCACTGAGACGCCACGTTGGCCGCCATTTGAGAGAAGCATTTGCAATTTCACTTTCCACACTAATTTCTAATCAATTCCACAAAATATATCGTAAGTTAACGAATTTTTCCCAAATGTTGTTGTTATTGGACATATTTTAGGATTCTCCCCTCACGTTGGGCGCCATTTCCCAAAAGGTAATAAATACAAGCAAAATTTAAATAATTCATATATTAAAGAATACGCTTACAAATTTGAAATTCTTTAATACCCTCCACCATTTGGAACGAATTTGGAAATTAAAAAAAAATGAAATCCATTAAAAATTCTGTTAAAATCTTGAAAATACCGAATATAGCCGTTATATTGGGGTGTACATGAAGACGTGGACCTGCATAGGCAATATTTGTCATAAGCCATTGCAATATTCAAATACGAAACTTAAAAAAATCCGATTAATAATGTCGCTAAAATCGTCAAAATACCAAATATAGGGAGGTACTGATATATGGGGCCTATACGAAGACCTGACAATCTTCTATCACAGGCTGTAGTACCTATTGGCAACTTCAAATACGAAATTCCAAACAATTTCGGTTAATATTGTACCTAAAATCTTCAAAATACCGAATATAGGAAGGTATTGATATATGGGGCCTATACGAACATCTGGACCTGCATAGATAATTTTTTGTCATAGGCTGTAGTTCCCATAACGAACTCTAAATACGAAATTTGAAACAACTGTGGTGAAAAATGTCGCTAAAATCATCAAAATAGCGAATATTGGGAGGTACCTTTATATGGAGGCTATACGTGGGCCTACATACGCAATTATACATATATAATTGTCACAGCCTGTAGTACCCATTAGGAGCTTCAAATACAAAATTTTAAACAATTTCGGCGAATATTGTACCTAAGAACGTCAAAATACCGAATATAGGGAGGTATCGTTATATCGGGGCTATACGAAGACCTGGACCTGTATAGACAATTTCCTATCACAGGCTGTAGTACCTATTGGGAACTTCAAATGCGAAATTCCAAACAATTTCGGTTAATATTGTACCTAAAATCGTCAAAATACCGAATATAGGAAGGTAATGATATATGGGGCCTATATGAAGACCTGGACCTACATAAACAATTTTCTGGCATAGACTGTAGTTCCCATTACGAACTTCAAATACCAAATTTGAAACAATTCCGGTGAATAATGTCGCTTAAATCATCAAAATACCCAATATCGGAGGGTACCGATATGTGGGGGCTATACAATATCGTGGATCGTTATAGCCCATCTCCGAACTTGACCTGCCTGCAGACAAAAGACTGATATTTGCAAAATTTTAGCTTCCTATCTTTATACGTTTTGACGGAATGACGAACTAAATATGTGGAGGGTATAAAAATGGCGCCCAATATGTGTATGAAAGTATTCCTTTCTATTTTCATGTGAATTGTTTCTGGGAATAGAGGGCCATCAATGGGTAAGAAGAACCCATTATTTTTTCTACATCATTTGTTATTTATGAGATTTGAGACATATAATCTCATATATAGATGGCGTTTAAGAACTATTTTTCCTGGCTTGAAAATATAGCCGGAGTAATTTTTTTCTCATAGGGATTTTCTTTTTTTTTTGCAAATTCCGTAATTTGAAATACAGATGGCGCTTAAATTTAAGTAATGAAGTCTTTCTTTCCCTCTTCACGTAAAATAATTCGAACAATAGACAGCCATGTACCAGGTATCACTGATTCTAAAGTTTTTTTTTTTTTTTGGTTTAGAGTTTTCCTTGTCGGGGGTTGCCACTATTTATTATTTTTTTATTATTATTTTTTTTTTGTTTTCGTACAGACATTTTTCGTTTTTATATAAAGATGACGTGAAATACGAATGTTCTATCCTATATACGAATGTCACACATAGGTGGCGCTTAACACGGTTATGAATGTTTTCCCTCCTTAACAGAAATAAGCTTCGCGTTAAATATGAACATTCCCCCTTTTAGTTCCTAATTTTAAATATAGGTGGCGTCCAACATAATTAACAACTCGTTTCTCCCAAGCATAGATAGATATATCCTTGCCGTTGTGTGCCACAAAATCTACCTTCCACTGCCAAAGATAGTAACTGAAAAATAGAATTCAATTTATATGAGGATCTGCTTCTACCAACGAAATGGCGTCCAAATCGAAGAGAATTTATATTTTATTTTTTTATTTATAAAAATTATTGATTTGCAACTATTTGTTGAAATTTTCAAAACGAAAACCACCTCTTCCCTTTTAGAATCTAGTCGTTTGCTGAGAAACCAAAAAAATCCATATCAAGGTTCTTTGAATTGTATTCGCAGCAATGAATTTTTTATGATAAGGGCCCAGGTAACAATACCAACCCACACACAAAATTGTTGGTCTTTGTTGTCATTGTTGTTGTTGCTGTTGTTTTTGGTAATAAATTTGATTTTCAGGGTAAACTTCTTTTGTTTTAGGTTCAGCTTCATTTGTCATGACTTCATTACACGAAACTTTTGACAAGACGAAATTTTAAAAGTATCCTCCCCCCTCCACTACCACTTCACTTCGAGATGCTGTGTGATTATTTTGTAATGCCAGGGCAGAATCAATTCCTAAATAACACACCAAAGCTTTTGGGTAATAAATTGTTGAACTTTGAAAACTATCAAAAAAAAAGTTCTGTGTCATCATTGGCATAGCTGTAGAAGAAGTAAAGCTAAACCACTAGCATGGGTTCGACATGCTCCAATAGTTAACATCAACTCGGCTAACAATGAAAATATGTGTTTGCTGGTATTGTTAGAAGAAAAACTGGTTTTGAAAAAAAAAACTGAATAAAATAAAAAATTGTAATCAAAGCGTTGCTTGCCTACCATCTCCCAGCTTCTTCTTATTACAAGCCTTCTATGTTGGCATGATGAAGGTGGCAGTTTATCGAAGCAGAAGAAGTGTGTATTTTGGAATCCATAGATCGATATGTTTTGAAACTGGTTTCCACATCAGGCTTACTTCTCTTTCAATTTTTTTTGAAGTGTCTTTAAGAAGTATTGCCCTCGAGACGATTAGACATGCCTGTCTGCTCTTTAAGTAGCTCTTCATCGAGTTCTCTCTTCTTTAATTATTCTTCGAATTCTATTGAGTTCTATAATGAACTAATTGTTCGGTTGGTAATTGTTGTGGTCAATTAACACATTTTCAGGGTTCTTAATTTCGGATAAAATTAGAAATAAATGGAAATGTTTGCTTCCACTAAGAATAAAAAAATAAAATAACAAAATGGCGCCCAACGTGAGCATCTTCTCAGATTTCTCAATCAAATGTAACCCAAGACAATCATCAACTCTTTTCCCTCTTCAATATCTTGAAGATTTTAAATTGTACGGTGATCAAAAATATTAAAGTTATTTGTATCGAATTTTCTTTCGTTCGTGAAATGGCGCCCAACTTAGGAAGAGAATCCCATGATATGTTTAATACCCAACATTTTAATATACCTAAGCTAGCCTTGGGTCTATATTGTTTAAATAATGAACGATTTTAAAGTTTGAAATGAAATACTACATTGTCTTAGTTTTTAAAAATTAAAATAAAAAAGTGGCGCCCAACGTGAGAAAGGATCAAAAAATGGGAAAAATATATTAATATTGAAATTTGAAGGATTTTATATGGGTTTGGACATAAAATCAGACAAATATTTCGATTGCCAGTCTATCATCTGGAATGCTTTTGTGAAATGGCGCCCAACGTGGGGACGGAAACCTAAACCACAGACTTTAATGGCTTTTTTTGGATGGACAACACTTCATCAAATTAAAGGAGAATCCTCTTGAGTATTTTTTAATAGCTCTACCAAATCTCAAGGTATGTATAGGGCGGATTATGTTTAACGAGATTTTTGACAGAAATATTTCCCTCACTCTCCATTCGTATGGAAATTTTTCTTTGAGTTCATGTTGTGAAATGACACTCCAACCAATGTTTTTGTTTGTTATTTTCTTCTTTGATAGTTTCGCAAATTGCCATTGAGTCCCAACGAATCATAAATAATACCACAGGCATCAATAACGTCATTACTTGGCCTTATCAATATGCAATGAAGACTATATAATAATGCGGACCATATTGAAAATTCTCAAGCACTAGATAATGCAATACGTGAGTTCAATGGAGAAAATTCAAGGGAATGGATGATGAAGTTTGGGAATAATATTTTTTCTGAAACGGGTCCGAAATAAATTTTCTAAAACAAAATTAAAAATGGAATTGCAGGCTCACTAAAATTCTGCGGATGACTTCTTGAGTCCCAATTTTTTTTTTGTTTTAAACTTGGACAAATAAACTCGTTCGACATCGTTATTTTTTGCTTTTTTCTCCAGCACCACCAAAAAGCGTTTCAATTTTTATCTTATCTTTAAGTTAATCGATTGCTTACTTCTCACCTCCCAACCGTTCCACCCTTGCCCTTGATTTCGAACAGAAAGTGAGAAGTCTGCATATCACCTACGAAATAACAGCCGTTTTATGAGGTTTACTGTTTCGAGGTGACAAGTTCTTGTTGCTTGTTTTTTTTTTTTTTTTTTTTTGTAGATAAGCGAGGCCTATTTATGATAGACATTTTCAAATTG